AGAAACAGACATAGAATCAAAATCATGTGAAGTATTAATACAACTTCATAAAGCTTTAGTAAGACCACACCTGGAATACTGCATCGTATTGGTCACATTACAAAAGAGATGTTGAGACTTTGGAAAAAGTGTAAAGAAGAGCAACTAAGATGATTAAAGTCCTGAAGAGTAAAACATGAAGAATGGCTGCAGGATTTGGGCTTGGCTATTCTAGAGAAAAGAAGGACTAAAACATGAAGAATGGCTGCAGGATTTGGGCTTGGCTAGTCTAGAGAAAAGAAGGACTAGAGGGGACAGGATAGCAGTATTTCAGTATTTAGTAGCTGCCATAAAGAAGAAAGGGCCAATCTATTCTCCAAAGCACCAGAGGCCAAGACAAGAAACAATGGATGGAAACTAATCAAGGAGAGAAGCAACCTGGAATTTAGGAGAAACTTCCTAACAGTGAGGTCAATTAACCAGTGGAACATCTTGCCTTTAGAAGTTGTAGGTACTTCATCACTGGAGTTCTTTAAGAAAAGACTGGACAGTCACTTGTCTGAAATTGTATAGGATTTCCTGCTTGAGCAGGGGGCTCGATTAGAAGACCTCCAAGGTCCCTTCCAGCTCTGATTCTGATATAGGTATGCAGGAAATTCAGGAAAGGCAAATGTAATGATAATAGAAGAAAAAGATTGTAATGGAAACCAGATACAGCTAGAAGTCAAAGGTGGATTCATAGGGCTGGTGGCTATACAAGTAGCTCTTGTCTTGCAACAGCTCGCTTAGTGATGGTTCAAAGTTACAACCGCACTGAAAAGTGACTTATAATTTTTTCACAGTTATGACTGTTGCGGTATCCTCATAGTCATGTGATTTATATTTGGATGCTTGACAACCAACTCACTGGTTGGCAGTGTCTCAGGGTTGTGTGAACACTTTTTTCAATCTTCTGACAAGCCAAGTCAATGTCTATGGAGATTCTCAGTCATCCAAAGAACGTCTTTAAAGAGAAACCAGAAAGTCCAGTTGCCTCTTGAAAAAGCACCTTTGGGACAAGCCAAGTCAATGGGGAAACCAGATTCATTTACAACCGTCTTACTAATTTAACCATTGCAGTGATTTACTTAACAAATGTGGCAAAAAAAGTCGTAAAATGGAGCAAAACTCCCTTAACATATTTCTCACTTAGCAACATGAATTTTGGGTTCAATTGTGGTCATAAGTTGAGGACTACCTGTATTTTTAATAATAAAAAAAAATATAGAAATTGAAACAAAAAGCAAAGTCAAAGAGCAGACTCTGTGGAGCACAAGGTCTTTTTCTGCTATCAGTTTTCCATATTTCTATGTCTTTTACTCTAGTCCAGGGGTGTCAAACTCGATTTCATTGAAGGCTGCATCAGAGTTGTGTTTGGCCTCGGGGTCAGGGGGGCATAGTGTGCGTGCCCTGTTCAATGTCACTTGTGTTAACGCCTGTGGTGGCCCGAGCACTTTGCCAGCGAAAATGGACTCCTGAGCTCCATTTTCGGCTGCAGCACCCTCCTGCAACCCTCTGCCAGTGAAAAGCAAGCTCCATTTTCACTGGCAGAGGGTTGCAGGAGGCTGCTGCAGCCGAAAACAGAGTTAGGGAGCCTGGCAGAAGCACAGCGGGCTGGTCCTTCAGTTTCCAGAGCAGGCCCTTAGGCCTTGAGTTTGACACCTGGTCTAGTCCAAACTCCTGCCTGAGGCAGGATACCAAATACCATCTCAGGCAAATGAAAACCTCCAGCAACAGAGCATCCACAACTTTTGACCAGCGGCAATTAAACGGACACTTGCCATTTTAATTTTGATAATTGCAAATCCTCTATACAGACTTCTTTCCTTTTTTGGCTATAACTGTGGGAAAGGAATTATAAGAGACATATTTTCCTGGTGGAATGGTCAGAACAGCACAGCTGTGTCCCGTGTACCTTGGATGGAAATCTACTGTATATTATAAAACATTGTAACATTGCCTGTCTTCCAATATCTAGAGACTCTAGTTCCAATGATAATCTTTACAATGCATCTGTCCTGGCAGTTAGAACAATGCCATGATTGTTCTTGTACGCAGAAGAAAAACAGCAGATATTTGCACATTAAATACATATCAATCACTCTAGAACCTTTTGAAATAAGGCAAACAAGCAAAAAAAAAAAAAAAAAATCCCATAGATCAGTGGCCCCTAACCTTTTGGGCACCAGTTCCGTGAAGAGATTTTTCCGCAGACCAGAAGAGGCCATGGTTTCGCATGCTACCTGCACCATGTGGGTGGGGCTTCACTTTTTGGTGTGGCCCGGTTTATGGCATGCCACAGCCCGGTGCCAGTCAATAGACCGGGGGTTGGTGACCCCTGCTATAGATATTGACCTCTGCTGTTCATTATTCATTTAGTTAATTGGGGCTATCTCATAACACCTGTTTTTGGAAAAAAAGATAAGCAAATATGCTGCTTTGTTTTTATATGTATCTAATATTCACTTTTATAAAAAGATCAATGCTTGTTCATTTGTAAAAAAAAAAAAACAACCCACACACAGCTACATAAAAATCAGTAAATTTATCTTTAATGGCCATCTATCTCACATGCATGACTGTGTAGCTAACATTGTGAAAAATAATGTATATAAAATAATGAATACACATATACATATAAATATAGGCAAATCTAAACCATTATTAAAGGTAGAAATACTATTGAGTGGAATTTTAAATCTTGGAGACATCTTGGAGACACATGCAGTTTTCTTAGCAGGGTTATGGTTAATGGACAAGGTAAAAAAAACCCACTTTGGTCTATTCTAAATCTCCTTCAACTTTAATTAGATGATCCTGGGAACCCAAAAGTTTTGCACTTGTAGGAGTGGCAAAATCTAGGAGTGGAGTTAAAAGAGAGATCAGTCTAGAATTCCTATGTAGCCACAAGCGGACTAAGTCCAACCCCCTTGAAGTCGCGTGTCCCTTATCTAGCTACAAGATGATGCTGTTAGTTGAGAAGATTAATGTCCAACTAATGCTTAGTACCTGCTTGTAATGGGCAACGAAATTCAAGGTTTGGACTTAGTCCACATGGGGCTACGTAGGAATTCTACCTTGATTCCTCTTAACTCTTAAGTCCCTCAAGTTCTGCCACACTTTCTACAGCACCTGGGCGATTTATTTTATGTTAGTTTTTGCTTGAGAGTGCCAAACACAATCAAGCCGCTAACCATTTTGATGACTACTTTTGAACTTTGTCCATCTCCTTTATATCATTTTTCAAATGGGACAATCAAAACTATACACAATATTCACATACTGCAGAAGGGAATAACAGTTGCAGCTGTTTTACTTCCATTCTTTTCCCACTGATCCCTAATGTGGGTTTTATTTTTTCTCATCTGTCACATATTGAGTCAATAGCTTCACTGGGGTCTCCATTATAACCTAATCCCCGTTTAATTACAGTCCACTATTCAACAATGTGTACATCAAATTAAGACGTTATGCCCCCCAAAACACAGCACATTCAACATTCTTCAAGAGAACTACATTGTCCACTAAATTGCCTGTTCTATTTAAAGAGATTCCTCTCAAATTCCTCACATTTTATTTTCAATATGTCAGTAACTTCTACAGACTTGGCCAATCTGTGGCATTTCTCCCAATGATTTGGGGTATTAAGTGGTTGATTGAAGTACAGCCTCTTACCGGTAGATATCCAATTACGAGTTATTACTGCCCTGTCAATAAATGTCACATCAGTCACATATATGAAAAACTGTCAAAATCATACTTCAAAAAGAAACAGGTCAAGAATAAAAATAATGTAAATAAAATTTAATAAAAATGTAATTGCCATTAAAATAAGGAAGCAGACTGGTTCTTGTTTACATGCATCATCCATTATCTCTTATGCCCAAACATGCTCTTTCCAGCTTCCAAAGAGAACAACAAAAATATGAGAAATTGGTGAAGGGGTAGTTTTACTGGAAAAGGAAGAGGGGGGTGGAATGTAGAAACTAATAGGACTGGAGGTGCTTGAAGAAGAGATGTGGGTATTTATCCACTTGGATAGTAGAAGAGAGAGAATTCTACTGTAAGCCTTAATTGTAAAGAAACAAATTTCAGATAAATAAGCCTCCTTATAAAAATCAGGTTTAATAAAAAAAATTGGGCATACCGAGTATCTTCCTGCAATGAGATTATATTTGAGGCATATGCTGTTAGATCCCATCGTCCATCTATACTGTACCAATCACACAATCTTGGCCTCGTTGTAATAAATTGAAGCTTTTCTAAAACCTTCCTGTAATTGTCTTCATGCATGTTAACCTTCCTTCCCTATCATTTAATCGTAATCCATTCCATGTCTATTTTGATACTGTGATCAGAAATGGAACCACATTAAGTTCCTTCCACACTGCATCCATCTGTAGGGCCTCCCTTCTTTGTGGCTCCTTTTATCAGACATTCATTATTCTGAATGAAACTCCTTCCATATTATATGCCGACAGGTGGGTTCTCTCTTGTGTGGATCCTTTTATGAAAAGAGAGAGAAGTATTGTGGCTGAAACTCTTTCCACAGACCTGACACTGATACGGTTTCTCTCCCGTGTGGATCCTCCTATGCGAATTAAGGGAGCTGCTTGTAATGAAACTTTTTCCACAGTCGCTGCAATGGTATGGTTTCTCACCAGAGTGGATCCTCTTATGTGATATCAGGGAACTGCTTGTATGAAAGCTCTTTTCACATACTGTGCATTTATACAGCTTCTCCCCTGAGTGGATCTTCTTATGGGAACTAAGGTGGCTGCTTTGACTGAAGGTCTTTCCACAATCCAGGCACGAATATGGTTTCATCCCAGTATGGATCCTTTCATGGGAACTAAGGGAAGCACTTTGGCTGAAACTCTTCCCGCATTCCGTGCACTTATATGGTTTCTCCCCCGTGTGGATCCTTTTATGGGCAGTGAGGGAACCACTGGTGGTGAAGCTCTTTCCACAGTCTGTGCATTTGTATGGCTTCTCCCCTGTGTGGATCCTTTTATGGCAGGTAAACTGACTGCTTTGAGTAAAGCTCTTTCCACACTCCATGCATTTGTAGGGCTTCTCTCCAGTGTGGAACCTTTTATGAGAAGTAAAGGAACTCAAGTCTCTAAAACTCCTTCCACAGTCCACGCACTGGTAAGGTTTCTCCCCTGTGTGGATCCTTTTATGGGAAATGAGTTCACTGCTTGTACTGAATCTCTTCCCACACTCCATGCATTGATACGGTTTCATCCCTGTGTGGATCCTTTCATGGGAAGTCAGGGAAGTGCTCTGGCTGAAACTCTTCCCACACTCCATACATTTATATGGTTTTTCTCCTGTGTGAATTCTTTTATGTGAAGTAAGGTTACTGCTCCAACTGAAGCTTTTCCCACACTCCGTGCATTGATACGGTTTCTCCCCTGTGTGGATCCTTTTATGGGAGGTAAGATCACTTCTGCTTATAAAGCACTTTCCACAATCTGTGCATTGATACGGTTTCTCCCCCGTGTGGATCCTTTCATGGGAAGTAAGACCACGTCTCATTGTAAAGCTTTTTCCACACTCCAGACATTTAAATGGTTTCTCCCCTGTATGGATCCTTTTATGGGAAATGAGATCACTGCTTGTACCAAATCTCTTTTCACATTGCAAGCATTGGAAGGGTCTGATCCCTGTATGGATCTTTTCATGAGAAGTAAGGGAAGAACTCTGGCTGAAGCTCTTTCCACAGTCCGTGCACTTAAATGGTTTCTCTCCTGTGTGATTCCTTTTATGGGCAGTAAGAGAACCACTTGTGGTGAAGCTCTTTCCACAGTCTGTACACTTATACGGTTTCTCCCCTGTGTGAACCCTTTTATGGGAAGTAAGTTGACTGTTTTGACTAAAGCTCTTTCCACACTCCGTACATTTGTATGGTTTCTCCCCCGTATGGAACCTTTTATGGGAAGTAAAGGAACTCATGTCTCTGAAGCTCTTTGGGCACTCCACGCATTGATAGGGCTTTTCCCCTGTGTGGATCCTTTTATGGGAGGTAAGGTTACTGCTCCAACTGAAGCCTTTCCCACACTCTGAGCATTGATATGTTTTTTTCCCCATGTGGCTCCTCTTATGGGAAGTAAGATCACTTCTACTTACAAAGGTCTTTCCACACACCCTGCATTTATACGCTTTCTCCTTTGTGTGAATTCTTTCATGGGAAATAAGACCACGTCTCACTGTAAAGTTTTTTCCACACTTCAGGCATTTAAATGTGTGTTTCTCCCCTGTGTGCATCCTCTTATGGGAGATGAGATCACTGCTTGTACAAAATCGCTTCCTGCATGCCGAGCACTGATATGGCTTCATCCCTGTATGGATCAGCTTCTGGGAATTAGGCGAAGCACTCTGGCTGAAATGCTTTCCACATTCCGTGCACTTATGTTGTTTATCTCCCATGTGGATCCTTTTATGCGCAGTAAGGGAACTGCTTGTGGTGAGGCTCTTTCCACAGTTTGTGCATCTAAGTGGCTTATCCTCTGTGTGGATACTTTTATGTGAAGTAAGATCAATACTTGTACAGAACCTCTTTCCACAATCCATGCATTTATAAGGTTTCTTTCCTGGATTGGACTTTTTGTGCACAACATGATCATTGCTTGTATAGAAATGTGTTCTGGGTTCTCTGCTTTTATATGACTTCTCCACACTATGAACGGTTTTCTGGGAGTTAAAAGTACTGCTCCCATTAAAGCTTTTTCCACTGTTTGAACTCTTACGTGATTTTGGTATCCCAATGCTTTGATGTAAAGTAAGACAGAGATTCGAATGATTTTTTCCATGTTCTTTACATTTAGGCTGCTTCGCTTTAGTATAGATACTGCTATATTCATGGACGTCTGATTTATGGATGGACATTTTTTCAGCCTTTACATAGCTCCCTTTTTCTTTGTGATGTTGCATATGGAAGGTGCGATTTTCTCCATACTTAAAATTAGAGGATTTCTCCATCCTGTTGTTCAACTGGTTTTCAATCATGTTTGGCTCCTCCCGATTTTGCAATATCCCTTCTCCAATTTCAGTTTGTTTCAAAGAATTCACATCCGATTCTTTATAATTCTCTGGTTCCTGCTTGTCAACTGTTTGGAAGAAAAAGAAAAGAAAAAGAAATCCATCAGACGTTGAAGGTACCAAGTGAAAGTACCATCACATTATATTAGCTATATATTTATTTCAATACTGCTGTACCAGGTGATAGGACGATGAATGGGGGATTTCTTTACTGCATCTTGGATACTGGTTATTTCCGGAATGTAAGACTGCTTGGAGGTACCTGACGTATGGGGTCCCACGAAACTCCATTATTTTTTCTCCATTGGAGAAAATAATTTAGTAGCAAAGAGAAAATCTCTAGGGCAGTGGTGGCTAACCTTTTTCAGCTCCCGTGCCAATAATTGCGCACACGCTCGCTTGCATGTGCTTGCATGCCAGCACCCAAAGGAAATGTGTGCTACCCCCTATACCCCTTGCGCATGCGTGCATGATTCCCTTGAGTGCCGCACGTCTCTGCGCACGCGATTCCCCCGTGCGTCTGAGCATGCATGCACGATCCCGTGTGCAGCGTCTGCGCAGGCATTCACGATTCCCCTTGCGCACAGCGCATCTGTGCATGCATGCGCATCTCCCACACACCCCCTCCGCATGTGCGCCAGATACCCGACAATCAGCTGTCGGGCGGTGGCATGCGCATTGGGGCATCTTCCAGGCGACCTCTCGCGTGCCGGGGGAAATGGCTCTGCGTGCCACTTCTGGCACGTGTGGCATAAGTTTGCCAACACGGCTCTAGGGAACAACATCTTGAATTCAGGAGTGGGATATTATCAGCTTTGTTGCTTAACAATCAGTTTCAAGCGTGAAAGAAGGCAAGTTGAAATTAAATCTAGAGAAAATGGAGATGCTGTTGCTACAAGGAAACTGAATTTAGATACTAGGATTCAGCATGAATGAAATAAAAGTCGTCCTCCATTGGAAACCCCAACACACACCCCCCCCCCCAATGTGCACTCCAGGAGTGTTCCTTCATGTTCATCTGTCCTTGTATTTGTTGGCAGTCATATAGAGATCTTTGTTTACCCACAGTAACAACTGAGATAAACAGTGTGAAACAATCAGGATATCCTGCAGTGGTGGGATTCAAAAATTTCTACTACTGATTCTGTGGGTGTGGCTTGGTAAGTGTGGCAGGGGAAGGATGTTGTAAAATCGCCAGTCAGAGGTGGTATTTGCCGGTTCTCCAAACTACTCAAAATTTCTGCTACCGGTTCTCCAGAATCCTGAACTCTATCATTTTTTCCCCTCCCCCGACTGGTAAGATTGCTTAAACAAACTACATCTACTTGAAAAGTTTTTCTGTTCTTTAATAAGGGCTAACCACAAATTAACACACTGTGCTCTGTAATAATAATGAGTTGCTTAGAACTTCCATTTGTGCTGCTGCCTGAAACTGACCAGACCTTAATCAGTTTCATAATGAAGGTTTGGATGTCCTAAAGTGAACAAGGCAAAGAACCCCAGTTAGCACATTCTTCGCAATGTTCATTTTCAATTTTTGCTCATTTACTCATAATATCTTCTTTCCAAATGCAAACATTAACTTGCTTCTTAATAATTATCCAACCACAGGGTGAGCAATCCAAAGGGTGGGGGAATAGGAGGGAAAGGGTTTTAAGATTTGCCCTGAAAACGTAGTTTCCCCCTGAGTTGAACTGCAGAGAATTCCTTGCGGTCCCCCATTCCCCCCCACCAGGTATTTGGGGTGGAATCTCCCGGTACTCTGAGTATATTCAGGGACAATTTTTAATAAGGTTTCTCTAAGCGGTTACTTCCAGTGCTGGTCTCTCTCCTGCACTGTGGTTCTTTGGTATCTGTCCTGCAAACCCCAATTTAAGTATTGATGCACAAATGAGAAGCGACACTTCTGATTTGTGCATCAACACTTAAATTGGGGTTTGTGGGACAGATACCAAAGAACCACAATGCGAGAGAGATTTCAAATGCTATTATAGACAGAAAAAATAAATAAACATAAATGGTGGTTCTGAAATGACTTGCATAGCTAAGTAAGCAGCCTTGGAAACTGTGTCTCAGAAGGTGTTTGTTCCTCTCTTGAGACAACGTGAAAACATGAGCTCTTACCAGAACAAGTGGGAAAGGCAATTATTATTTTAATATTATTACTATTTTGATTTGTGGATGATGACTTCCAGTGAGGCGAGGAGAACCAATGCCTGCATTTCTGATGACATTTGAAATTGGTAGCTGGATGCGAGATATAGATTACTGAAATTCTCTCTGGAAGAAAGAGAAATCTGGAAATTTCCTATATGTATTTTGGACAGCTGTTTTTTTGTGAGCGGACAGTAGAAATTATCATTTTTTGCACCTGTTTGCAATCAGCTGGGTTCCACCATCTCTGGGCAGTAAATGTAGCTTTTCAGGACTCAAGGTTTGATCAAACCTCTTCCTTTTAATAATTTTGGAGTATTAGTGGGACTTAAATATGACTGGGAGGAAAAAGGAAAAATAAATAAAACTGGTTTACCTGTATATGGTTAAAGAGTAGGTTATGTTTTGTGATGTTTAATGAATATCTGATTGGATAGGTTTTCTTTTAGAAATATGCAATTGTGTAATGGACTAATCTTTTGATATCTAAAGGGGTTATTATTGTAATTTATAATAGAAGAATGAGGGGAATCTAGACTAAATGCTTAGATTAGGTTTTTAAAATTTTTACTACATCTTTATTATTAAGGCTAGCTGAAGATTTAGAAAAGACTTTATAGAAAATAGGGTAAGATATAGAATGAAAAGGTGTTGTACTGTAGTTTAAGAGTCAGTGATATATTGTTAATCTTCATTACTATTGAGATAAAAAGGGAAAACTTATTGTCTTCGCGGGGGGGGGTTGCACTTTCTATTTTTTTTCTTTTATGTATTTTTGTGTTAGGTTTTGAATTATCTTATTTATCATAATCCTTAATAAAATTATGCCAAGATTATTATTTTGATTTACATAGCCATCCATCTCACATACATAACTCTAGGTGCAATGCACATAAAGTCATATCAGTTCTCTCCAGCTAAAGAACGTGCCTGAATATCCTCCAACAAATTGCTAAGCAATTTCTGATCTCTCATCAGAATATACCTTCCCGACCAATTTCAACCCAGAACAAAAATGAATCCCTTACCCATGGACTCCACATTCTTAGCATTTTCCAGCATGACCTCTCTATACAGTGATTTTTGGTCAAAATCCAGCAGAGCCCACTCCTCCTCAGAGAAAAACACAGTTACATCTTCAAAGGACACCAGAACCTAAAGTACAATAGTAATCATTGTTAACGAACAATTCCAAAAAATATTCACAAGTTGCTTATTCTCATGGCAAATTTTTGATCAATTCCTGAGGCACGTTCATTAAGCAAGTATTGGGATATTACTACAGGACACCTTAATGTCTTATGTTGCCCAGTAGGAGATACAAGTATTCATTGAACAAGATGAAGATGTTGGGATATGTTCTCAAGAAGAAACTTGAGATACTATGAATATATGGATGGTATCAGAATACTGGGAAGATGCTTATGCTCTGATAAACTGTTAGCTGGGCAATATTAAATTGGCTCTGAAAAACTGATTCAGACCACCGCGGAGAGCGTTTCATGTTAATAAATCATTTTGCACTTTGGGAGGTGGGATCCTCCTACCTGAGTGGGAAGTACAACCCTTGTTTCTGCACCACCGCAAAGAAGAGACCTTTTCATTGGTACAGTCACTATTGCTCCATTTTCTGAGAATGAGATAAAAGCAGAGGAAGTACATGTTTTAAAAACAGTCGGAGAAAAACTCTGCACACGGGGCTAAGGTATTACAGCAACAGGAACTCAACAATATAAAGACTTCAGGCAATGGATACTTCCCAGTACTCCAATACATCAAAAGGAACCTCTTTTACCTGATGAAGTCTCCTGAGATGGATCCTCCTGGGATATCTTCCTGAAGACAATTTCTGGAGGGAGATGTGACACCCCCCATAATGCTTCAGAACCTTGGGTGTCCATCTTCATGAACGGCGCACGAACCTAAAATAGCAGCCAAACAAAATATTACTGCCCCTGTCCCAACTTGTTTTATGTCCTCAGAAATAATCAGGGTGAAAATGGATAGAACCATTTACTTAACCAGGAGAGGATTCCATTAAAGGTAAAGATTCCCTCGCCCATATGTGCTAGTTGTTTCCGGCTCTAGGGGGCGGTGCTCATCTCCGTTACAAAGCCAAAGAGCCAGCGCTGTCCGAAGACATCTCCGTGGTCAGGTGGATAGATGACTAAGCACCAAATGTGTATGGAACGCTGTTACCTTCCCACCAAAGTGGTCCCTATTTGTCTACTTGCATTTTTACATGCTTTTGAACTGCTAGGTTGACAGAAGCTGGGACAAGTAATGAGAGCTCACTCTGTTATGCGGTGCTAGGGATTCGAACCGCCGAACTGCCAACCTTTCTGATCGACAAGCTCAGCGTCTTAGCCACTGATTATCCTAATTATATCAGAATGGAAACATGTCAAATTTATTCATATTGATCTCACCTGCTGTTTTTGCTGCATTTTCTGCTCCACTTGGCTCAAGAGGAAACTTTCAGCCAGACCCATTTCTGGAGAGCTGGTCTCTGTTCTACACATCCAGCCACAGTTCTCCACCTGGGACAGGGTGGCCAGTGGCACGACCACCAAATCCATCATCTGAGTTTTCCTGTGGTCCTCTTGGCTCAGCCACCGATCATAAAGACGGTGGAGTTGGCGGCATACTTCTCGGAGTCCTTCAGCTTCCTGGCAACAGAACTCCCTGAAAGGGCAACGATGGATAGCGCAATGTGTGGTTTCTTCTTTCAGAATGTCCTGCTGAGTTCTTGCCATTTTTCCAAATAAATCCAAGCGCTCTTCTGAATCTGCAAAGCAACTTTCATTCATGGGATTAGAATCGCAAGGAGAGACCCCTTCAGCCATCTTGAAGAATGAGGCATTTCTCCCCTCCATGACTGGTTTCTTTGGGAATTACCGAATGTCCAGCTTGCAGGCTAAGATGAAGCAGTGTAGAAAACTATAATCCAAAGCACTGACAGGAACCTTTCATTATTTAATATGTTTACAATTTACCTTCCTGAAAAATATCCACAAGGGTGGCTTGCAGGGATTAAAAGCAAAAACATTAGATCCCATGCAACTGCTGATGAAAGATAATTGCAATGGGTGGAAAAAAATAAATCCTGGACATTAACACATGTACCACTTCCACCACGGGCACACATTACAAAGGATATGCAAGTTTGTTTTGAAACTTAAGAAATCTTGAAGTTTGTGGGATTTTTTTAAAAAAAAACTATGTATCCAAGGTGCCACTTTGCAAAGACTCTGATATTGGCACAAGAGGCGCAGATCAGCCTGAACCTTTGGATTGCGTCAGAAGGGACTATTTCCCTTCCTCCAAACCCTGGAAGGATGGCTTCCCAAGCCAGGAAACCCAGATCCTCCGAACTGTGGATGTTCCAGATGCTCTCAACAGAAATCCAACCCTAAACTTAGAATAGAATAACAGTTGGAAGGGACCTTGGAGGTCTTCTAGTCCAACCCCCTGCCCAGGCAGGAAACCCTACATCACTTCAGGCAAATGGTTATCCAATCTCTTCTTAAAAACTCCCAGTGTTGGAGCATTTACAACTTTTGGAGGCAAGTTGTTCCACTGATCAATTGTACTAACAGTTAGGAAATTTCTCCTCAGTTCTAGGTTGCTTCTCTCCTTGATTAGTTTCCACCCATGGCTTCTTCTCCTACCCTCAGGTGCTTTGGGGAATAGCTTGACTCCTTCTTTTTTGGGACAGCCCCTGAGATATTGGAACACTACAAGAACATTACAAGAAGGTGTGTGGAGCCCTGAAACAGATCCAGGAAGGGTAGTTTGAAGAGTCCACCATGCCTCTCCTAAAGACACAATTATAAGCTATCTTCCATCCCTCCTAAGGAAAGAAAGCTGGTTTTTCCTTCCCCTCTTTATCACACAAGGAGAAAAGTCCTTTAACAAAATCACAGACCTGGAAGGGACCTTGGAGGTCCTACACCACTTCAGACAAACGGTTATGCAACATCTTTTTAAAAACATCCAGTGTTGGAGCATTCGCAACTTCTGGTGGCAAGTTGTTCCACTGATTCATTGTTCTAAGCGGCAGGAAATTTCTCCTTAGTTCTAAGCTGCTTCTCTCCTTGATTAGTTTCCATCCATGGCTTCTTATCCTGCCCTCAGGTGCTTTGGAGAATAGCTTGACTCTTCCTCTTCTTGCCGGAGTCTTTAAGAGGACTGCGCAGAATTCAATCTCTAATCGAGAAGCTCCTCTCCTTGCAGAAATTAAAGAGCCCGGCGCGCCTCGCAGGAAAAACAAATGGGGCAGGTGAGTGGGAAGTGCAGAAGGTGGAATATTGGGGGATTTCCAGCTTAGCCCCACAAGATCCCCTCCCCACACCTCCAGATCTGGAGAGACCGAGAAGATCGCCTGGTCTGGCTGGGCAGCCCGACAGAATCCGCCACTTCCCTGCCGCTTCGCAAGCCGGGCAGCTGCGGAGAAAGGAAGGGCCAGCGAAGGAAGGAAGGAGCCGTTGGGAGGATAGGTCCAGCGTTTGGCGGAGAACGCAGCTTCCTGCAAAGGACTCCCTCGGCGTGGGGAAGGGTCATTTCCTGCCCTCCCCTCGCAAGCATCGGGCGAGATGTCGCCAGGAACGAGGCAAAAGCTCTTCGGCTGAACCCGGAGGTGGTTTTTGCAAAGGGGCGCCCTCTGGTGGGTCCTGAGTGCCAAGTCTGCAGGGCGATGGATGGGTTGCCCCAGAGGGAGATGCTGTATCGTAACGGGCTTTTGTCCAAGAAACCATCCCTCTGCCTGTCTATGGAGATTCTCAGACATCCAGGTCAGGGGTCTCCAACAGTTTAAGACTTGTGGATTTCAACTCCCAGAGCTCCTCAACCAATAAAGCTCTGCCCAGAAGCTTCTTAACATCTTCAAAGAAAAACAAGTAAGTCCAGTTGATTCTTGAAAAAGCACTTTTGGGGACAATCATGACCTGGACATTTAGCTACGCAAGAGCTGAAGAACCTTCTTGGATGAGAAACAAAACGTCTTCAAAGAGAAACCAAGAAAGTCCAGTTCCCTCTTGAAAAAGCAACTCTGGGACAACCAGGACCTGGATGACTGAGAATCTCCATAGATATTTAACTGTCTCTTTAATAGTTGGTCTCACAATAATCAGAATCTAATTCCAGCAAAGATCTGGCATTCGTAGCTATGCCTCCTGCTCACCTGTGAATGTTGAAGTCGGTATTGCAAATGAACTATGAAGTGGGGGCAATCCTCACCTTCGCTTAGGGTAAGTGCATAACTGTTGGAGGTGAAAACCCACCCCTCTCCTAGGAAAATGAAATATTTTAGATATACTAAAAAGGCAAAATATTTCCCCTAAAAAGAAAAATAGAAACTCAAAAGAGGCAGAAACTCTCACACACCCCCAACCTTTACTGATGGGCCATTACTCTGGCCTGGGTCAGTCTATTTTATACAACAAAGATCTACTCCAGGTAAAGCTATATTAGGAATTGCTTAAAACCCTTTCATTACATCATCATCGGAAGGCTCAACCAAGCCTGGGACTCAGGACAGCCTGCAGGGTTGCCCCTGCATGGCCCCATGGGAGACTGGCAGCCAATCAGAATACAAGCTCAAATTCAAATCCCAACGGCAGGAATAAAACCAAGGGTTTCTCTTCTTCTCTTTTCTTTCACCCAACATCTTGAAGCATGTGATCATCCTTTTCACTTTGGAGCTCCAAGGCATGTGGTCCTCCTGTCCACCATTAAACCATCTTTCCAAACAGCCTCCATGTTTCCAGTGTATTTTTCCTCACTTGGAACTGAACCCAGAAGGATAATTCTTCCAACGTAACAAGAAATGTATTTTTATATGAATGTATTTGATTCACAGGCGACTACAAATTAAGCAAGGGTGTGTTGGGAGAATTTCCCTCAGTCTAAAGTACCCTGTTGAAAGGTGTGTGTGTGTGTGTGTGTGTGTGTGTGTGTGCGCGCGCGCGCATGCACACAGATCAGGAGCTTTTTAACTTCTACCAACTTCTTTTTAACTTCACCTCAATTTTCTCTCTAGGTCAGTGGTGGCTAACCTTTTTGGGCTCCTATGCCAAAAATTACATGCGGGCAAGTGTGCACACACTTGCATGCCAGCACCCAAAAAGGAATGCACGTAGCTTATGCACGCCCCCTGTGCATTTGCGCATGATTCCCCACCACCACCACCCTTACCTGCACTGCGCCTCCCAGCTGATTTTTGGCCCTTTTGAGGCCTTTTGCGACCTGCCAAAGGCTTGAGGGATGCCTCTGCAGGCTTTGCAGGCGGAAAAATGGGTCCGTTTCATCATTTCCGGTATTTCTGGAAATACAGGAAGTGATGAAACGGGCCTAGTTTTCGTCCTGCAAAGCCTGCAGAAGCATCCCTCAAACCTCTGGCAGGCCGAAAAAGGCCCCCAAATCAGCTGGGAGACGCGCGCATGCGCAGTGAGGTAAATTTGCCTAGGGCTCGCATGCCCGCACAACAGGGTAGGCTTCAAAAATTTTAGCAGAGGGTTGCTGGGTGGGCATGGCCATGGTGGGTGTGGCCTAGTCGGCCTCCTGCACCACGGCCAGTGGGGGAGGGGCTCCAGAAGCTTTCCTCGAGCTTCTGAGAGGGCAAAAATGGCCTCCCCGGGCTCCCGAGGCTCTCTGAAAGCCAGGAACGGGCCCATTTCCGGCCTTCCCAAACTTCCAGGAAGTCCATTTTTCACCATCCCCAAGCCTCTGTGCATGCCCTGCATTTACCTGCATCCAAAACGGGCTGTGTGGGGACTTCTGGGAGGGGCGGGGTGAGCGGGGCCAGCCAGGAGTTGGATTTGGGGGTTCTCCAAACTGCACAAAATCTTAGCTAGGGGCTCTCCCGAACCCCTGCCGAACACCCAGCAACCTACCCTTGCTGTTACCCTAGGAAGGGTAACCCTCAGACTAGGAAGCCAATGCCATGAAAGTCAGTACTACAGGTAGTCGTCAACTTACGACCACAACTGAGCCCAACATTTCTATTGCTAAGTGAGACATTTGTTCAGTGACTTTTGCCCCATTTTACGACTTTGCTTGCCAGATTTGCTAAGTGAAACACTGCAGTTGTTAAGTTAGTAAAACGGCTGTTAAGTGAATCTGGCTTCCCCATTGACTTTGCTTGTCAGAATGTCGCAAAAAGTGACCACGGGACACCGCAACCGTCATAAATGTGAGTCACTTGTCAAGCACCCGAATGTAAATCACGTGATGTGGGGATGCTGCAATGGGTCATAACTGTAAAAAATGATCACAGGTCACTTTTTTCAGTGCCATTGTAACTTTGAATGGTCACTAAGTGAACTTGTTCTAAGTTGAGGACTACCTATACTATTATAGTAAAGCTATGCAGGTAGGCCTTGACTTTCAACCGCAATTGAGCCCAACATTTCTGTTGCTAAGTGAGACATTTGTTAAGTGAGTTTTGCCCCATTTTACAACCTTTCTTGCCATACCTGTGAATCACTGCAGTTGTTAAGCGAGTAACACAGGTTGTTAAGCAAATCTGGATTCCCCATTGACTTTTCTTGCCAGAAGGTTGCCAAAGGGGATCACAGGACATCGCAACGGTCATAAACATGAATCAGTTGCTAAGCGTCCAAATGCTGATCACATGACCATGGGGATGCTGCAATGGTCGTAAGTGAAAATAAAAAAGAGTCACGGGTCATTTTTTTCCAGTGCCATTTGAACAGTCATTAAGTGAACTGTTGTAAGTCGAGGACCAGAAACCTAGACCTCCTGTCCCCACTCCTGCCATCTGCAACTGGGACTTCCAGGATGAAAGCATGAAATTGGCTCTGTTTGTCCTCCTGGGCAGGGGTCTCCAACCTTGGCAACAGTAAGACTTGTGGACTTTTTGGGGATGCAAGCAGCGCCTCCAAACCCTTTGGAAAACCCCGGAGACAGCTAGGAACAAACAAACGGGCTTTCTTGCCCGGCGTCTGCGGAAAAGAAACGGATCCGCCCAAGCCTTTTCCTCGCTTGGGACCTCGATCTCCAAAGAGGCTTGCAGGCGGGAGCCACTGAGGCCGGAGAGCCGCGCAGATAGCAGCCGCGCCCAGAGACATCAAAGGCTCCGGCCATTTTCGTTCTCTCCAGGCTTTTCAAGGGTTAAGGAGAGCGAGTTCTTCTCCCTAGAAAGGCCATATCGAGGAGTGAGGGGGTACTTCCGGCCCTCTTCTTCGCTTTCCCGGCGGATTCCCCTCAGAAAAAAACAAATCCAGGTCTTTGAGGCATCTCGGGAAAGAACCATTGGGAGGGGCGGGGCTAAGATTTCCCGCCTGTCTGTGAGGAGGAATCGCGCGACTGAGACGTCTTTTTTTTTCTAGTAAGGTAACAATCGTAATATAATAGTAATATCGTTAAATAATATTATGCCGAAGAATTCTGCCCTAAAGTCCTTTTCAAAGGGTAGGACTCGCCTGCTACTGTATTGAAGATACGGTGCTAGCAAACATTGCTCCTGAGGAACAGTGGTCTAAAAGTGACCATATCTGAGGAGAAACTGCGGCAGTCCTGCAGGAAAGAAAAAATCCAGAATATTGAAATGAATCGAATTTCTCAAAGACATCCAGTTTTTTTTTTAAAGTTACTTCAGGAATTGCAGAAGTATGGGGAAATATAGGTAATAGGATTGTGAGTTTGTTAGTAGGATTCACTGGGTTAGGGATTTTATGACTTTAACTGTGAATTGTATTGTGTTAGGGAGGTTCAACCAATCTCACTGTACACGTGTACTCTGACAATAAAAGTTTGAACTGAACCTGGTAGTCCTCGACTTACGACCCCACTTGAGCACTGTGAAGCTGTATAGAAGTCTAGGTGCTATTGCTATCTATAGGGTTATATTAATAGGTTAATACAGGATATGGGGTTTAAATGTTGCTTTGCCTTAGATTCAAGGTGGTAGCAAGGGGATACGAAAGTTTGCCTTGATGCTCAAAAATCAAAAAAATAAAGGGAACACAAAAATAAGTCATCCTAGATCTGAATGAATGAAATATTCTCATTAAATACTTCGTTCATTACATAGTTGAATGTGCTGAAAACAAAATCACACAAAAATTATCAATGGAAATCATATTTTGCAACCCATGGAGGTCTGGATTTGGAGTTACACTCAAAATTAAAGTGGAAAAAAACACTACAGGCTGATCCAACTTTGACGTAATGTCCTTAAAACAAGTCAAAATGAGGCTCAGTAGTGTGTGTGGCCTCCACGTGCCTGTATGACCTCCCTACAACACCTGGGCATGCTCCTGATGAGGTGGCGGATGGTCTCCTGAGGGATCTCCTCCCACCCCTGGACTAAAGCATCCCCCAACTCCTGGACAGTCTGTGGTGCAACATGGCGTTGGTGGATGGAGCGAGACATGATGTCCCAGATGTGCTCAATTGGATTCAGGTCTGGGGAACGGGCGGGCCAGTCCATAGCATCAGTGCCTTTATCTTACAGGAACTGCTGACACATTCCAGCCACATGAGGTCTAGAATTGTCGTGCATTAGGAGGAACCCAGGGCCAACCGCACCAGAATATGGTCTCACAAGGGGACTGAGGATCTCATCTTGGTACCTAATGGCAGTCAGGCTACCTCTGGCGAGCATATGGAGGGCTGTGCAGCCCCCTAAAGAAATGCCACCCCACACCATTACTAACCCACTGCCAGACCAGTCATGCTGGAGGATATTGCAGGCAGCAGAACCTTCTCCACGGCATCTCCAGACCCTGTCACATGTGCTCAGTGTGAACCCGCTTTCATCTGTGAAAAGCACAGGGCGCCAGTGGAGAATTTGCCAATCTTGGTTTGGCAAATGCCAAACGTCCTGCACGGTGTTGAGCTGTAAGCACAAACCCCACCTGTGGACGTCAGGCCCTCATACCACCCTCACAGTCTGTTTCTGACCGTTTGAGCAGCCACATGCACATTTGTGGTCCTCTGGAGGTCATTTTGCAGGGCTCTGGCAGTGCTCCTTCTGTCCCTCCTTGCACAAAGGCGGAGGTAGCAGTCCTGATGCTGGGTTGTTGCCCTCCTACGACCTCCTCCACGTGTCCTGATGTACTGGCCTGTCTCCTGGTAGCGCCTCCATGCTCTGGACACTATGCTGACAGACACAGCAAACCTTGCCACAGCTCACGTTGATGTGCTATCCTGGATGAGCTGCACTACCTGAGCCACTTGTGTGGATTGTAGACTCCGTCTCATGCTATCACTAGAGTGAAAGCACTGCCAGCATTCAAAAGTGACCAAACCATCAGCCGGAAAGCATAGGAAATGAGAAGTGGTCTGTGGTCACTTCCTGCAGAACCACTCCTTTATTGGGGATGTCTTGCTAACTGCCTATGCTTTCCACCTGTTGTCTATTCCATTTGCACAACAGCATGTGAAATTGATTATCAATAAGTGTTGCTACCGAAGTGGACAGTTTGATTTCACAGAAGTGTGATTGACTTGGAGTTACATTGTGTTGTTTAAGTGTTCCTTTTATTTTTTTTGAGCGGTGTAGCATATGCCAGAGCCCCTGTTACAAGGAAAAAAATATTCAATCTATTTGAGATGCACTCTCTCAGCAGACTGTCTGCATCAGTGGTCGCCAGCTGGTGGGTTGTGAGAAAATTTTGGTGATCCGTAGAGAAATATCATCCCAGAGCACCCCCCCCCCACAAAGCAATTTATCCAGGCTGCACAGGAACACAAGGCTGCACCGCCCACATGGCTCAGGGGAACCCTCCCCGCCCACTCACTCCTTACCTGGCAAACTTGCCTACTAAGTTGCTATTTTTCCTTTTTTTTTTTCCCCCGACCATCAGCTGTTCTGCTGTGCCAGGAGATTTAGATTAGCTAGAAAGTTGGACATTATTGGATTAACCTTCCTTAGAACTGAAGGGATATTATTCAGTGGAGACTCAGGTAGCCAATGGAAGAAAGATAGATCTGTGATTCTGTGAGCAACTCAATTTGCCTGCCTGCTTTGCCTGCTTTGGGTAAAAGTTGCTCTTTTTTTAAATAAAAAAATCTAAATTTACATAAATATTTATAATATTTACATACAAGCCATGCCCAGCCAGTCACATGATCACCAAGCCACACCCACAGAACCGGTTAAGAAATTTGAATCCCTTCCCTCTCCCTTCCGCAACATCAGCAAGCCACCGTCAGTCAAAATTCGTATTAGCGGCCCCCAGGATTGCCTTGATATTGCACTAAGTTCATGAACTATACTAGAGAGGAGGAAATGAGAGGCATGATGTCAGGGTAGTCTTAAGTTGAATGAGGCAACGGTTGCCAAGCCATATGTTTCAGTTTTGTTTCGACCATTACAACAGTCACCCAGTTTCGTGAACACCAATTCTCATCCAATTGTTATTTGTTTATTTCTCATGTGCTCTTTTAAGTTTGAACTTAACTGTGTATTATTTTAACTGTAATATTTAATGGCATCAAATAGTTTGATAACTGTGATTTCTTGTTTTGTTTTAGAGTCAAATGAAATAAACCCATAATGGATGAAAAAAAGCAAAGGAATATTTTGCATTTCTTTAGCAATATAAAAGATAATGTTACTAATGATAATAGTAACAACAATATGTGTACTTCACTTAACTGTGAGCTGATCAATGAATCAGAGCCTCCACAATCCTCATCAGGCACCATTAGGAAGAACATTCGAACTCGAGGTGGAGAGAAAAAAAAACTAAAAGTATCAAGAAAATATGATTCAAACTACTTGAAATTTGGATTTATTCAAGAACCTGGTAGTGAGCTGGATCCACGACCGCTTTGTGTTGTGTGTTCTGAGAGTTTAGTAAATGATGCCATGACACCTTTGAAACTCAAAAAACACTTCCAATTAAAGCACCCAGATTTAGCTAAGAAACCGCTTGAATATTTTCAAAGAATGCATGAAAATATGCAAAAGCAAATAATTCCTTTAACAAAAATGACTGTTGAAGATAAGTCCTTACTAAAGGCGTCTTATCTGACAGCACTTCAGATCGCAAAAAATAAAAAGTCGTATATGATTGCAGAAGAATTAATTAAGCCTTGCATGTTACAAGCCTGTGAAGAGGTTTTGGGAAAGCAGGCTGTCCAGAAACTGAAAATAATTCCTATGTCTGCTAACACTGACAAGCACAGAATTGAAGACATGGCTGAAGATATTGAAAATCAAGTTATAGAAATGGTGAAAAATTCACCATTTTATTCAATTCAACTTGATGAATCAACAGACATAAGTAACAAGGTTCTTCTCCTTTGTTTTGTGAGGGTTGAGTGTGAAGGAGAGTTACAGGAAGAACTACTTTGCTCACTCAACTTGCCGGGTAGAACAACTAGCTCTGAGATTTTTGAAGCACTTAATAGTTATTTCCTGGAACATGGAATTGAATGGAAAAAATGTATTGGGATATGTACAGACGGTGCCACAAATATGACTGGACATCTTTCAGAAATTGTTGCAAAGGTGAAAAATGTTGGTCACCCAGACATTTTGTCTACACACTGCATTATACATTGTGAACAACTTGTGGCAAAAAAAATGTCCCCAGAATTACACGAAGTATTATTAGATGTTATTAAAATTATAAATGAAATGCAACACAAAGCACTCAATTCTCGAATGTTTGAGGAACTTTTTGAAGAAATAGGTTCTGAGTGTACTCACCTTCACACTGAGGTGAGATGGCTGTTGAGGGGCAAAATACTAACCCGACTGTTTGCCCTACGCAAAGAAGTCAAATCATTTTTCCAGCAGCAAAATAATCTGAAATTTCAAAAACTCTTGTCCAATGATGAGTGGGTAGCCAAGCTTGCATACCTGGCAGATATTTTTTCGCAGTTAAGTGATCTAAACATATCTTTGCAAGGACAGCTTAAGGATATATTCACACTACGAGATAAAATGGATGCGTTTCAAAAGAAAATATTACTGTGGCAAATGCGGTTGGCTGAAGAAGATCTGCAGATGTTCTCAAATTTTGATGACTATATGAGAGAGAAAGATGTCAACCAGCAGGTGGTAACCATTGTTCAACAGCACTTGCAATCACTCACAGAATCTTTTGGTCATTATTACCCAAAGAAAGAAGATCCCAGACATGGCAATATGTGGATAGTAGATCCATTTGCAGCAAAAATTGAAGATTGCAATTTAAGCATGAATGAAAAAGAAAGTCTCATTGACCTATTATCCAATGACCATCTCAAAGCTAAATTCCAGTCACCCATATCAAAACCTCATTTTTGGCTCTCTGTAAAAAGTGAATACCCATTGCTGAGTGAAAAAGCAATGAAAATTTTGATTCAATTTTCAACGACATATTTATGTGAAAAGACATTTTCATCTCTCACAGCAATTAAAACTCAGTACAGTTCTTGGCTTGAAATAAAAATGGCTCTCCGTCTTGTAGTAACATCATTGGAGCCAAAAATCCATAAACTTATTTTAAACAAGCAGGAACAAATATCATACTAAAATGTGTAATACTTAAATAAGCTTCAATTGTTTTGTAATAATTAACTTTAATAATTTTGTTACAATTAAACAACCTTTAAAGATTTTGTTATGATTAAATAAGCATTTACTATTTTGTCATAAATAAGCATTTATAATTTTATATTAAATAGGTGCATTTCATATTAATAAAATGGAAGTTCTCTGATCATTATTTTACAAATGTATCTTTTTAAAACAATCATTAGTGATCCACAGGATTTAAAATTATGAATTTAGTGGTGTGAAAGATTGGCAACCACTGACGTTGAGGACTCCAATCCATCTTAGCATATATTATTTACTCTATCTGAGCTGGAGGCAGATGTTGGTTCCACCAGAAGAAAAAGATGTCTCAACAATTTGTACAGAAAAAATAATAACCTTTATTGTCATTTTTTTATTGTGAGCACAGTGGCATACATTAAAAATGAAATTCTGTTGCCTCATCTCAAAAGAAGGTATATATCTACCTATACACATAACATACATATACACATAACATATAGAGAGAGGGGATGGAGAGCGCAAAATTATCATACTTCCAGCAGATAAAGGTAATGCCACAGTACTAATGAAAAAAAAAGACTACAAAATAAAACTGGCAGACCTACTACAAAACTCTACATACCCATAAACACTGACCCAACCACATATCTAGAAAAAATAACCAAGAAGAAAATCATAACCAGCAACATTAGCAAAGAGATCCAACAGAAGATCATCCCAAGAGAAAAATCTTCCAGATGCCCCAAATTATACGGCCTCCCCAAAATACACAAAGAAGGCATACCTCTTAAGACCCACAGCTCCATAGGAGCACCACTACAAAATCTGGCCAAATACCTAGCAAAACAGCTACAGCCCCATGCTGAAGCAGCAGCTTCACATGTACAAAACACCTACCGCTTCTTAGAAATGATCAAAAATCTACACGTGGAACAAAGAGACCTGCTAGTAAGTTTTGATGTGGTTTCACTATTCACCCAAGTCCCAGTGAAAGAAACCCTACAAATCATCAAAAACAAATACAAACCACCCAAGCACCTCATGGAACTAACAGAACACTGCTTAACCAACACATATTTCATATACAAAGGACAAAGATACAAGCAGATCGAAGGAGCCCCCATGAGATCACCACTGTCACCTGTTATTGCAAATCTGTTCATGGAAGAATTCGAAACCAGAGCCCTGGCAAATGCCACTCACAAATCCAAACTATGGCTAAGATACATTGATGACACATTTGTTATTTGGCCCCATGGAAAAGAAAACCCAAATAATTTCCTAACACAACAATACACCCCCCAAAATCAAATTCACCATGGAAACGGAAACAAACTACCATTCCTAGATCTACTAATCTACAAAAAACATGGCACACTAGGACACACCATATACCAGAAGAAAACACACATCAACTGCTACCTAAACGCTCAATACCACCACCACCCAGCACAAATAAACTCCTTAGCCAAAACACTAATTACCAGAACCAAACGCCTGGCAGACAAGGCACATGTTATGTCCTGAGGACTCAAGGAGTTCTCACTCAGGTCCACTCACTTTGTGTGGGCGTTATTCCCCCATTCCCATTGGTTGGTTCTCCCCAGCAGCCAGCTATAAAAGCAGGCTGCGGGGTCCAACTGGCTGCTGATTGCTGCGAGCCAGTTCCAGGCTTGGCAAGCACGGTCAGCCCTTTATTTGTAAAATAAAGTACTGTTGCACTCATGCTCTGGTTCAGCCTCTCATTGCTCAAACTTAACAGCACACATAAAGACTGAACTATAAACCCTGACCAAAATACTGATAGCTAATGGCTTCCACAAAAACAAAATCACGGACCTGATCCACAAAAACACACTGAAATACAATAGAGACCCAGAAAATGAACAAACCTATGGAACAGCTGTCCTGCCCTACATAAGAGGAACAAAAGACAAAATCAGCAAAATACTATGCAGGCATCACATCAAGACTGCCTTCAAAATGGACAAAAAAATAGCAGCTATCCTAAGAAACCCCAAAGACCGAGAAAACCAAGGCATATATGAAGTACCCTGCACATCATGCCCTGCCATACATAGGACAAACCAGCAGAAGGATAAGTACCCTCCTTGAAGAACATGAGAATGCAATAAAAAAGCTGGAACACACTTCCTCACTAGTCCAACATACGAAAGCCACAGGTCATAGCATTGACTTCAATGGCACCAAAACCCTAGCTACTATAGAAAACCCAGGCTACAGAATCATCAGAGAAACCATAGAAATTGATAAAAGACCTAATAGTATGAATAGAATAGATGACTCCACCAGACTATCAATCATCTAGAAGCCTGCACTCACAAACAAAAAAATCTCTATACCATAATCCAGGCAAGCACCTGGACACAAACAAACCCCTCCTAATACCTCCAGCCCAAACACACCCCAGCCAGCTACCCCAATAACACCTAGCTTCCTAATAAATATCGGCCATTTACAAGAAACCAAGCTGCACTAAGAAACCCCAATGCACAAAACACAACGTTGCCAACCAATCAAGAACACAGCAACTCGAAGACCAATAAAAACTGACCTAGACTCCCAGCCAATCAAGATGAGGAAAAAGCCATTCAAATAAAGCAGAAAGCCAGCACCAAATTCAAACAAAAAATGGCTGCTAAGCCTGACACACAGGATTAAAAAGAACCCAATAAACAAGCCTGAGGATGGCAGATGAGATTCTGCTGAAACGGTACTATTAAAAAAGCACAAATATTAAGGCATGAGAAAATACCTGAAGAAACCTAAATACCATACATATAAATTCCCGCGAAAACATAAGAAAACACACACACGTGTATGTATGTATTTATATACACTGCTCAAAAAAATAAAGGGAACACTTAAACAACACAATGTAACTCCAAGTCAATTACACTTCTGTGAAATCAAACTGTCCACTTAGATAGCAACACAAACAGATCCCCTGATACCTCCAGCTCAAACACACCCCAACCAGGCACCCAGATGAAACTTAGCTTCCTAACAAATGATAGCCGTCCATTTACTTGGAGCCAAGCTACACTAAAAGCCTCCAATACAGGAACACAATGTTGCCAGGCAATCAAGACACAAAAAAGCCACAAAACAGACAGAAGATATTAGAAACACCAATCAAGCAGAACACAGCAAACTCCCAGACCAATAAACACAGACCAAGACTCCCAACCAATCAGGATGAAGAAAAAACCATTCTGGCACAGCAGTAGGCTAGCCCCAAATTTAAAACTGAAACAACTGTAAAAGTCTGACTCACAGACGAACACAATACAGAAACCTGATGATGGCAGATGAGATTCTGCCGAAATGTTGCTACAACTTTAAAAGCACAACTATAATGACGTGGGAAAATACCCGAACAAAGCTGAATACCATACATGTGTGTGTGTGTGTGTGTGTGTGTGTGTGTGTGTGTATACATGTGTGTGTGTGTATGTATATGTACATACACTGATCTCTTGTCTATTTTGCATACATAAGGGAAAGAGGAAACTTAAATATTCACAAGGTTGATACTATATGGAACAAAACTGACAATCCAGATGTTCTGCTTCAGACAAGTCTCCAGAAGGCAACAAGGATAAAAAATGTGAAGAGGATATATAGCGTCCCAGACAGTACTGCTGACCTGTACCATCATCCTCTGGGTCAGACAAAGGGGACAGAAGGATAGTTCTTTTTTTGCAGCTATTAATATCTGGGAAAGTATTGAATAAAATCCTTTTAAGATTGAAGCTACTTATGTAATCCTCTTGTCAGGTGACTTACATGTTTGATTATGCTGGGAAAGCCCTATAAATGGTATCCCTGGGCAGGGATTTAGTTGATTCCTCCTTGCCTTTGAACCTTATGCATCCACATAGATGAAAATTCCCTGCATTGGAAGAACAGTGAAGAAGAAAGGGAAATTTGAAGTTTTCCCCTGGCAAAGGAGGCATTGTCATGTACCACCAACAGTCTGTCCACTCCATAAATGGGGATAGATAATGTTTTCAGAAAACAAAATTTTTCCGTAAGAGGAGCTCTAAAAGCAAGGAATTGAGGGATTGAAAGAATTCAAGAAAAAAGTTACTGACAGGCTGACTCTGTAAAACGGCTTAGAGGGTGCTGCAAAGCACTATATAAGCAGTAAGTGCTAATATTATTGCTAATTAAGAATTATTTTTATAATCTCACCTGATGACTTCGCTTCTTCATCTGCTTCATGCCGCCTTCCGCCAGGGTGATTTCCTGGGAGCTAGTCTTTGCTCTACCTTGCCATACTTGGCCCTCGAACTCAGGGCAGGATGGCCACGGACCGCTGCAGGATTATCAAATCCAACACCTGATGTTTTGTGTGGCCTTGGCTCAGCCACTGATCATAAAGATGGTGGAGTTGACTGCATATTTCTTGGGAGTCCCTCTATCCCCTCGTAACAGTTCTCTGAAAGGGCAACGATGGACAATGCAATGTGTGGCTGCTGCTTTCAGAATGTCCTGCCGGGTTCATAGTGCTTGCCCAACCAAAGGCTCTTCTGAATCTGCAAACCAACTTTCATTGATGGGAGCAGAGTAGAACGTGCATCCCATGGCATGAGATTGTAAGCAAAAATTTTATTTTGCGGAAAAAGTGGCACACGAAGATCTCTCTCAAAGCGTTTATCCCACCAGTGTCCACCGGTGGGTTTCATAGAGCAGGGGTCACGAACCTTTTGTAGCTCAGGTACGACCAAACTCATAATTTTAAATCCTGCAGACCACTAATATGAACGTTGAGTGACAGTGGTGCGCTGACATTGATGGGAGAGAGAGAGAGATCCGATCTAACCTTGGAGGGCTGGTGGTGATATCCTCCCCGCCCCTCTCTTTGTCTCTCTCTCTCTCACACACACACAGGTCCCTCAGACGCCCCCACCCCCTTCAAGGCAGCCACATTCCTAACCTCTTTTCAGCTCCGTTATCAGGGAGAGAGAGAGGATATCCTGCGATCCCAAATAAAGAACAATAGATCAGTAGGAAA